CCCCCCCGCCCCCCCCCCCGCAGGCCCCCCCCCCCCCAGCAGCTGCCTCTCCTGCTCTGCAAGCCGCCTCCCCGCGACCGCCATGCCCCTGTGGGAAGCCGCTGCAGCAGGAGCTGCACGGGCTGGGCGCTGCCCTCACAGAGAAGCTCGATGGGCTGGCCGCAGCCCTGGCAGGCCTGGTTCAGGAGGTTGCCACCATGAGAAGCCAGGTGGATCGGCTGGGGAGGTGTCCGCGGCACCCTGGGCCAAAGTGCCAGGCTTCCTGGCCATGGCCCCTCCCCCGGGGTCCTCGCTGGACTAATGGCCCTGGTCACAGACACCTGCCGTACTGGAGACAGAAGGGCCCCATCAGGCCTAAACCAAAGGTCCTGCGGGGCCAGGCGGAGGGCCGCAGGGCTGGCGACCCCCCCAGACTCTCCAGAGGAAGTGTCCGCCTGGTGCCCCAGCCGCCGCCACTCACTCCCCCAGCAGAACCATCTGGGCCCAGCTGCAGCCACCCCCTGGAGCCCCTCTCAGCACACGGCTGCCATGCTGTGCCGACCGGTCACCCCATCCTCAGACATGCAGGGGGCCGCCAGAGCCCCCTCTCCCCCTCAGTGCCTGCTGCCTTACCCCCCCAGGTGGCCTTTCTCCCTGCCACTGGTGCAGACGCAGGAGCAGCCCCACTCGGGGACCCCAGCCAGCCCAAGGAGCCGAGCAGCCTGCCGCCGGCCCAGGGAGCCCCCCAGGAGGACCTCTGGGGAGGAGAGCACAGGGACCCAAGGGGGGCCCACTGGCCACGCCCTTCAACTCAGCCTTGCCAAGGCTGCAGGAGTGGCCCAGGTGCCCCCGCACCCCACCCCAGGTCACCTTCTCCCAGGGGCTGCCTCCCCTGACCTTCCCCACTGCCGAGTCCTACCTTCACTCGGCTGCTCCAGACCCAGTAGAGTCTGGTCAGGAGGTCGCGGGTGGGTGCATTTCTCAACCAGGCCTCTGGCAGTCTTGGCCAGACTCAAGTGTCGCCTCCCCTCCTATCCTCCCCACTGGAACCCCAGAATTGCAGGGGGTGGTGTGGGCACACGCATGTGTGCACGGGGTGCTCTCCGGACACAGAGGCGGGAGAACATGACTTTCTGCCCGCCTGCTGTTTCGATCACACAGTGCCGGCCGCGCCCTCACCTTCCTAGAGCACAGGTCGGCTCCAGAATCACTGGGGGAAGCTCGGCCCTGATCGAAGCTGGCATGTGCCTCCCCTCCCAGATGCCCTTGAGACAATCCAGCAGTGTGCTGCAGGCGGAGCAGTGACCACTGCGGACAGCTGCACACAGCGTTCGCCTCAGGGCTGCAGATTTAAGTGCCACTAAGTGCCCCTCCCTGGAGAGCTCACAGCAGACCAGAGTCCTGTGTGCTGCAGGGGGCGGGGAGAGCATCCCCCAGCGGGGCGTGGTTACACTGTGGCCTCCATTTCTCTGTGCTGTCAGAGGTCTGGGCACACACACCTGCTCCCAGAGGGTTTCGAGCTGCTGGGGCCAGTTGGCCGTGTGGGAGCTGGCTCCCTGTGCACCAGCCTTAACCACCATGCCCTGGGGCCAGCTCTGCAGGAGGCCGAGGCCAAGGTCAGGGTGTGGTCAGGGCAGTTCCGGACTCTGAGGGTATGTCCCAGGCCTCCTCCGTCGGTGGTGGGTGGCTCTTGTGTGCTTGTGGCATCTCCTGTGCGTCCATCCCAGTCTCCCCTTTGTATCAAAGCTCGGTTGTGTTGTTGTCTTCCTGATGAATTCATTTCAGCCCGATTACCTCCATAAAGACCCTCGCTCAGAGTGGACTCATTATGAGGACTGGGGATTTAGACACAAAATTGGGGCCACAGCTCAGCCCAATGCACACGTGAGGGGCTGGTCAGGTGGGTTTGTCATGCCCCAAGGAGGCATGAGCAGGTGTCACCAGGCCCACTTCTGTCCTGGTGGCAGAAATGCTCCTGTTTGCAAGACCCTGGCAGTGCATTGGGCTGTCACTCCTGCCTCCTGTTGCTCAGCTCATGCCTCCCCGTCCGAGCCAGCCATGTCCCCACTGGACTCCTTTCACTGAGGAGTCTCCTGAGTGGGGTCTGTGTAGATCGCTGGCCTGGTTAGCGTTGCACCAGAGAACCAGGGACCCTGAGTCAAGCCGGGTGCATGGTGATGACAGCACCTTGGGGCTGCTTTGCCCAGGGTGTCCCCCGAGGCATGGTCACTGGAAACGGAGCCTGAACACCCTCAACTGAGCCAGGCCAGGTGGCCTTGCCTAGGGCTCGGGGCTGAAGTCTGGCTTGGTCCTGCTGCACCAAGGGGCCATCAGAGTGTGTTGAGGATGACAGTGAGTCCCAAGCATGTCGGGAAGCAGTCCCAAGACCCGAGTCGGGGCTGTCTTCCCTCAGCCCTCCCTGATACGGAATGAAGGACAGCCCTAGAGGAACTTGGCAGACAGGCCAGCTCCTTTCAAGATACGCAGGGAAGGGCTGCTCCTGGGGCCTGGTTAAGGGAGCAGGATCCCACGTGGCCGACCGTGGTTCAAGTCCTTTTGGTTTGAAATACATAGTGATGCGTGTGTGCCCCCAAGGTCCTGGCAGGGTGGGGAGGTGACAGCGGGTGGCCACGCCCTGTTGGAGGGCCCTTTCTCCCTCTCAGTCACTGGTGAGCGCTCACCCCCTCTGGCAGTTACAAGAGGATTTGCAGAGAGTGGGCGCGTTCTAGAGCCCATGGGAAGGGGGAGGAGAGCTAAGAAACCTTCCCTGCCACGGTGCTTGCTGTGAGGAGAGGACTCGTGTTGGCCCTGTCTCTGCTGCTCCCATCTGGCCTGGGCCCCCTGCTTCTCTCTCCCCTTTGAGGCAGGTGTGGGGTCAGCGAGAAGTGGTCTCCCAGTGCCTTTGTCTGTACATCCAGGTGGACTCGCCCTGTGCAGCTGCAGACTCGGGGTTCAGTAACATACGCAGCTCAGCGGGGCTGGAAGGGAGCTGGACCCTCAGTGCTGCCAGCACTTGGCATGTCCCCTCTCCACCGGGCACACCTACCTCGCACCAGCCTCTGCTGGTACCAGACACGGGTGTTCAGGGAAGGCAGTCTGGCCCAGACCCAGCGGGGCTGCACAGGAAGTCCGGAAGTGTTTAGGACGTGGCCTACAAGTGGTTGCAGCAGTGGTAAGTTCCGTGCTGCACAGCCTCGGTCGTCCCGCAGGGACTGGATCCGTAGCCCTAGCCACGCCATCTCAGCTTACTGCAAAGCCTCTGAGGTCATGAGACGTGGATGTGCAGTTTAGGCCTTTGAGTCTGGACCACGTCGGGGGTTTCCGTACCTGTGTCCAGAGACCCACCTGAGTACCTCCTGGACTTGGGCTGCTGCGGGGGGGCCCAGGGTCAGGGCCTGTTGAGGGTGTTTCTGTCTTTTGTGGAGAAAAATTATATATATCCTTTCAGGTAAAGGAGCAGGAAAAAAAAAAGGAATGAGTGAAACAGCGTACATTTAATAGAGAACCAACAACGCCAGCCATGGTTTCCTTAGCAAATGGGTAGGGAAGGGTCGCAGTGTGACCGCTCTGGGCGAAGGCTGCCTTCTCCTGTCTGAGTGCGTGCAGCTTCAGCAAGCTTTTAAAAAGGGAATAGGGGACCAGCTGGTGATAGTGGTTAAGGTTCTGGACTCCCACATGGCTGACTGTGTTTCAAGTCCCAGACCTGGCAGCTTGAACCTCATGCTGGGTGCATGTGCATGTGTGCTCAAAATTCTGAGAGAAGAACCGGAGACCAGCGTTGATTGTTAGGGGCGAGGCCCTCGGCTGTCTGTTTTCAGCCTCTCCCCCTGCTCCTGCAAAGTGCTGCCCCCGTGTCGCCCCCTGCTGGCTGCATGTCACCTGTGTCACTGCAGAAAGCCTCAGAGCCATTTCTGTGCCTGGCTTTTGGCACCTCCCCAGGCAGCAGAAGTTCCTCGTCTTGGTAGAACAGAGAGGGACCACAGACCCCTAAACACAGGCAGGTGGAACTCTCCGGGGAGGGGCAAGAGTACCTCCCAGCTGAGAGTTGTCATGCTGGACTTTCCAACCCCTATAATGAATCTTCTCTGAAATTTTTAGAAAGTTCTCCTTTTAAAAAAAAGATTTATTGGGATCAGCAGTTGGCATAATGGCTATGTCGCTGGACTCCCGTGTGGTTGACTGCGGTTCAAGTCCCGGACACTGGGTGTGTGTGTGTGTACCCAAGATCCAAAGAGGAGAATGGAGGAGAAGGGATTGCGGTGTGGCCAACCCCCTGGGGGGTGATTTCTCGCTTTCTGATGCTCTGTCCTGGTGAGCACACACGCCCTATAGCAAAAGCCTCTCCAAAAAAAAAAAAAGATTCACTCATTTAATTTTATTTATTATTAGTCCATTAGACAAGACAGAGGGGAGAGACTGAGAAAGCAAGCCGTCAGGTCCGGGACCCAAACCATGGTCAGCCATGCGAAGGGAAGTAATTTAAAGAATACAATCTATGCCTCTTCCCAGGAAATCTGTGCATTTTACCAGAAACATTTTTCCCCCCCAGGGATTTTTCCTATAGGAATGCGCATTCACCAGAGAGAGAGACAGAGGCTGAAAGTGAAAAATCACCACCCCAGGAGGGCCGACCGTGCTGCAATCCCTTCTCTTCCAGTCTCCTCTCGAGATTTTGGGCACACTCGCACCGCGCCTGGTGTGTTTCAAGTCACCAGCTCCAGGGCTCGAACCACAGTCGACTGCATGGGAGTGTAGTGACATAACTGTTTTGCCATCTGCTCATGCCTACCAGAAACTCTCAAGCAACTTGGAGCTGCTGTGACCAAAGAAAGAAGCTGCTCTTAGTCCCGGCTGCCCTCTGTCCCTCCCAACCACAGCCAGCCTGCTCTCTCAGGCCAGAGCGGGGAAGGAGAAGCAGTTACGGAGCAGTGAAGCTGCAGTGTCTTCCAGGTGCTGAAAGGAAAACCGAGCAGCCGTAAAGTCCGTCCTTCCCTATTCTTAAAGGACTGTAAGGGCCTCCCCCGAGAGCCCCCGTCTTGTCCGTTCAGGGATGTGCCTCGCGGCAAAGCTCGATCCTGCAGCCGGCCTCTGGGAAGTGGGACAGGGAGCGACCTTCCGACACCTGCATCGGCCACAGAGCTGGGCCTGTGCCTACCCCTGGCACGGCGCCGTCCACGAGCTGGCCCCAGCTTAGCTGGCCTCAGGCTCGCCACTCGCACTCGGGCCAGCCCGAACTCCGTTCTCTATGCGTGCCCGAGCCCGCGGTTGCTCCTGGCTCCCCACTGCCAGACGCCCTTAGTTTTCACATGTTATTTGGTGAAGTCCAGCTCAGGTGCTGCTCCCACTGCATTACTGCAGGCAGGGGCCATCATGTTAGCAACAGTGACAGCTGACCTTCGCTGAGCACTTCCTGGGTCCAGAGTGGCGTCTCCTCGGCCATCTTAGCAGGTAAAGGTGGTTATCCCCACTTTCTTGCCTCAGAGCAGTGGGGCAGCTTGTGCCGATCGATCGCAGAGTTGAGAACCTGAGAACCAGAACTCAGGGCAAACAAAACCCGGCCTGCCTGCGGGTCCCTGTGTGGGGACTACTCTGCTGCCCCCTGCAGGAAGCGTAGGCTCTGCGTGTCTAGGTCTCTGACACCGTCAGTACTGGCCAGTGTTCTGCCGTCAGGCCTGTGCTTTACTGAGGCGTCTCTGACTTTTGCCTCGCAGCGAACCTCTGTCTGCCACCTCCAGGTAGGATCACTCCGTGTGTACACTTTAGGGATCTAGGAAAAATTGAATTCTTTTCTAAAAGATTTTTGCCATTAGCAATAAACAGTTGTATTAGTTTTACAAATAAATAGTGGGATTGACCATTTTTGACTGAACTTCAGAGCTTATGGGAAATGTGAAAGACCAGTGCGATGAACATCCGGTTATATCTTGCCTATAATTCGGCAGTGATTAATATGTGGCCATCATTGTTTCTGCTCTCTCCCTCCCCCCTTCAATACATAGGTTTTTAAATTTTGTGTTTTTGTTTTCTTCTGAATTATTTGTAAGTAAATTGCAGACACCATGACATTTCCCTCCTAAATTTTTTGTTGCATATATCTTATAAAGAACAATGTTCAGAGCTAGTAGGTGGTGTGGTGGTTAAGGCGCTGGACTCCCACATGGCCATCCGCGGTTCGAGTCCCTGAGCCCAGTGGCTTGGAAATCATGGCAGGCGCATGTGCCCAAGTTCCTGGGGGAGAACAGAGGAGAAGGGATTGCAGCATGGCCTTCTGGGAGGTGATTTCCCACTTTCCCTCTCGCTCTTTCTCTCTGGTGAGTGCATGCATCCTATAGCAAAATTAATAAATTAATGAATTAAAATAAAGGAAAGAAAGGGAAGGAAGGAAGGGCACGCTTGGGCTCTTACTGCCCCACAGCATCTTGGGAGTGGCTTGGCCCGGTGTGCCCGGCCGGCAGCTCCTCGCCCCGGGGACAGTCTGGATGAGAGCACTGTGTCCTGGGCCAGCTCCTGACACCTCCTTCAAAGTCCTGGGCGAGGCCAGGAGGCCGCACTTCCAGCAGGTCTGCCAGAGCTGGGCCTCTGTTGGCACTTTGTCCTCCTGGCTGGTGTGCCCTCACACAGGAAGCCAACTTCTCCCTTCTCCAGGCCGGAGGCGTCTGCGGTGACTCGACTCACTTGAACCGGGGGCTCCAGTCTCTGAGGGCCGGCGAAGGCAATGAGTCTGGTCAAGAAAGCACCTTCCTCCCTCCTCTGTCCTTTCCTT